AAGCAACGATTTGTCGGTGGTTTGCCGAGTTTAAACGTGGTCGTACCGACACAAATGACGCGGAACGCTCGGGTAGACCTGTGGAAGCTGTGACACCGGAAAATGTGAGTGAAGTGATAAAAATTGTAATGAAAGATCGTAAAGTGAAGCTCCGTGAGATTGCTGAGATGACACAGATATCATATGGAAGTGTATTTACTATCCTTCATGAAAAATTGAGCATGAAAAAGGTTTTTTCCAAGTGGGTGCCGCGATTGCTTTCGATGGAACAAAAAAGATATATATATATATATACACTTAGCAATTTAAATTTTCTATAATTGATAATTTTCATACAATAATTTTTACAATAATTTTTGACAGTATGAAGATGATGCCTAGAGAGCGTACACGACATCATTCAAATAGAACCCGTGTGCAATCAACTGTGCCAAGGGTAGCCCAAGTACTCCCGCAAGGACGAGAATATGGCGCATTTTTAGCCAACGGATATGGACATCAATCCCAGAATTTAGCGGATATGAACAACGTTCTTTCACAGTTTCATAATAAAATAAACGACTTCGCGCGGGAGGAGATTTTGTTGAAGCCGTGAAAGAAAAATTGAATCATTATATCATAATTATATTTATAATTGCAGCTTTGCTACTGCTCTGTTACATAATATACGCCTCTAAGAGAAAAGCCACTTGAAAGATAAACTTTCACTACAACGACACTGTTGAACTGCCAACGTTATTTCATTATAATTTATATTATTTGGCTGTTATTGTAAAAATTAATTTTGCAAACCGTAAAAAGTTAGTATAATTAAAATTAATCTCAAAATATAAAACTTCCTTCAGATTCCTCTGTCCAAATATTGAAGTTTCTAAATAGAAGCTCTATTGATGTACTAATTAATGATCAGAATATAATTGTAGCCATCGCATTCGATACTATTACTGACATCTAAATATTCTCGGTGTACTTATCTATATTGTAACATCATTACTGAAAATCAATCATCGTCTCTCTATATCTTCTTCTAGTTCAGTGATTACTTTGCTAAGCAATATCTTGCACAATTAATAAATTGTAACGCCTGAATGATTCATGTACCGATTAAAAATCTTACGTTGTCGATACTATTGTTACTATTTCGCGAGGTAAACGTGAATTGAATAAGTAATTATAACTATCATTTAGTAATTAATTAAATTATATTATAGCGCGATATTCATTTACGCTAATCATAGTGCATAATTTTTATAAATGAATTGCCAGATAGTCAAATAGTTAGTTAAAAAGCAAAACAAAACTCTTTATAAAAAATATCTTTATTTTTTGATCCACTCTTGTGTTCGTTACTTTTTTATTGCCTTGTCTGTAAATATATCAACATAAGTATCGATACACTCTCGATATACTATCTGTATTTAACGATGTATAATAAAATACTGATATACCCATTTTTACGATGCAACATTATCAACAATATTAAAAGCACAAATTGAGAACAAATTCTATTAATATATATAAATTGAAGCATAAAACATACATTCTTACCTTGATGTAGGTGCAAAGAGCATCTCCTTTTGGTTCTCCATTACCGTCTTTATATAGTTTGATCTTGTCTTTTCCCTTTTCGTCTCTTGCTACGAGGCCACACTTGGTGAAGAGTTGCGTGAGTTCTTCTATGGTAATATCCAAAGGTAGGCCAGATACATAGATAGCAGTGTTATGGGCTTCGTCAACTTCAAACCAGGTCGGCGGTTCCTGAGCTTTCCGTTTGGCTTCTACTCTTCTTTGCTCCTTTTCTTCCTTGATTTTCTGAGTAGGTGGAGGCTGCTTTGGTTCTGGTGGTTTTGGCTGTGGTGTACTCATATCCGTAAAACCATAGTTCATCTGGTACTTGGCCATGAAATCCTCATCAACTTTCGGAAACCAGGCATTTTTTTCTTTATCCCAAAAGTACACACTGCCATCATTTGGATCTGTATAAGTGTGCGTGTCGTTTTCAAAACCAAAAACATCAGCTCCACCAGCTTCAGGACCAGATTCTTCCTTCTTTTCCATTTGAAGACTTTTACTGTCAGAGCTCACTTTATTATCTTCTTTCACAATCCATTTATTATTCTCTTGATCAAACATATAAGTAATATTCGTCGCCTTGTCAGTGTAAATGTACGTTTGACCATCAAATTCATAATTCTTCATAGAATCGTCCTGTTTTTCTGATTCCATGTTTGCTGTGACTGACGATGTATCAGCCATCTTCAATGACTCATTAGCTTCCAAACGATAAACCTTGAAACCAGAAAGGTAGAAACTTATTGACAATATTATAATGCAATAAGCATAACATAAACATAAAGAAAAAATATAAGTTTACAGATTACACGAATATAAATTTTTTTAGATAATATCTCACACTTTCGTTCGCATTCTAATATAGCTTATCAATATTTTAAAGCTTATATCTAACAAATTAATCGTAGACATGCAATTTAAAATAAGAATTAACGTGTATAACATTGGAGAAATAAGGTTAGAAACATGATAGGAACTGACAGTGGAATAATTCTTTCGTACCTATCAATATTTTTCGCATCAGCAAATTCCACGGTAATTGTTGCACTAATTAATAAGTAATTTGCAAGCTTACGACAATCAACATTAAAAATAATTCAATCTTATCGAGCAATTGATAGAAAGCCTATGTGACCGACGCGCGATATACATCGGACGCGACTGCGGCAGGTGTCACGTGATGCCAGCGCTACCTATACGTCAAACGCAACAATTATAATAATAAAAATCTAATGAGACGTCAGAACTATAATTGATGATTGTTTCTATAAATTGTAGATTAAAGATGGCCATTCTTACAAAAAGTTTACATGCCTATTAAA